ACACACACACAACACATATACACAAGAGAAAAATTATGGAGGCGGGATGAGACCAATGTTTACGTCACTAAAATGGGCCAATCAAACAATTAATCATTATTTGCCACAATACAGATAGGCCTAATGCCACGAAGGAACAACTATGTTCTTATTTCTTCTGTTTGAAGAAGAGAAATAGTCCTGATTTCAAAGTCGAGTGAGTTGTCTGTGGTGTAGCGTTAATACACAAAAGACATGATTTCGATTCTTGTGTGGGAAGAATATTTCTCCAGTATTTCATTTTTCTCTTGGGACGTTGCTCCTCTCAGCCCGTGTTGGCCTTGACAACGTCGAATCCTGCCTTCTTAATGTATCTAAATTATGTCCGTGGGTGCGATAAAACATTTGCATTAAAAAGTATAGTTATTGCAATCCTGCATTGTGGAGTGAGTTGTGACATACGACTTTAAGCGCAGTTACTGTTTCAACCCCGTGGTCAATGGAAGAGTCAATGGTCTAAGAGCAGAACCAGCAAAAAGTGATATAATTGTTTCCTGTTTTCATAGTGTATACAACCGTAGCCATAAGACCGTTTAACGATCATTCTGTACGAGATCTTCCTCTGCGATTCTGCTGTTAGAGATAGCTACAAGACTACGCACAAGAACCGTAAACAGTTGCTGTAAACAGACCGAGTTCTGCGCCATACACAGCACAGGACTCGTATCTCTTCCCTTAACGGCCATATGTACTTGACCACCAGTTAAATCATCCTAAATGGCCACTTGTTCGGAAACAACTCCTCTTCTCCCCCACAGTCCTCTCCAAGCCTCCACTACTGGCGATAACTGACCACACAGCGGCCCCCACACCAGGCGCCATGGGCCATTACGCAGTTAATCTGGTACATATCACTTTGCGGCTTTGTTTGATCCTTGCGCCGACACGGGGCTACAGTTGCTAAATTAGGGTCAAGAGTTGAGTGTAGAAACTTCGTTTTCAGTCGTAAGTTTTGAAAAACTATGAGATCGCGTTTCAGGTGTTGTGAAAGCTTGTGAGGCACACGCACACATAGTGCATTACATTATTTGGTCATGACGATCCTTTTAGGGTGACTTTTAAGCCGCTTTCGGAACAGAAAGTTTATTGAAAAGACGTGACCTCCAACGTAAAGTCAATCTCCTTTTGGTATTAGTAGAGGTTTTACGGTGCTCGCAACTGGATACGGTCATATGAACGCCAAGGGGTGGATGTCAACAGAGAAGTCCTTACAGGGAATCAGACTTACTCTGCTCACCTCTTTAGCTTCAACAGCACAAAGTCTGCTTCGACTATCAAGGCACCCCGGTAATAAGGGATCACAAGAGCGTGACAAGCATACAAAAGAAGTAGAGGAAAATGACGATAGTAAGGATCAGGAAAGAAAAAGCAGATGAGCATGACATGTTAAATCCCTCTCAGCTTCGGTTGGCCCTGAAAGGTAGGGTCGGAAGCCTGCCTCCTAAATGATCTAAACTGTGACGACGGGGGCGTAAAAACAGCTACAAAACATCGTAATACTCTATACGCCCTTATAGATAAATAGGCAAGCCTGGGGCGTTTACTACATGTAGTATAACGGGCACTTGTTATGTAGATCATTTGGTGGACTGCTTCGAATCAGTCTTTCAGGGCCATCCCGGGCTGAGTAGGATACAGCATCACAGTAAAAAGAAAAACGATACTCGGTGAAATGGACATCCCTCCGCAGGAATCGCAGTCACATCCCTCGCATGCAATGGTTAAAGTAGGGCTTCAGTCAATTAGAAACATACAGTCATATAAACAAGACAATGGGATACAAAAGACTCAAAGGTCCCTGACGTGGCGCTCTCAATGAAGTTCCACTAGTTAGAAAAGGTCAAACCGGCTTCTGTGGTAAAGAAGTGGGGCTATTCGCTGTCGCCAGGACACCCGCGATTCCCGAGTGGGGAGAACATTTTGCACAAAGTATCTCTGTCTTTCTGATGAGATGTTGTATTCCTCTCAACCCGGGTTTGCCCTGACAGGAAGGGAAGGAAGCCCGCCACCTTAATAATCTAAATTGTATCGATGGGGGTGTAAAAACACCTACATTACATTTTTTAAAAGCAAGAAGTCGGCACCGACCATGCTGGGGAATCAATACAGAAAGGCTTCCTGAAACACGGTGAGAGCAGAAATCATGCAAAGCTAGGACACCCCTCTCCTCACGTGCCCCTGATGATAAGAGGCTTATGCATCCCCTCAACCAGGTTAAGCACCTAAACGCGCTGAAATTAATGTTTGTCAGTGAGCTGGCCAATGCATATTAAGCCTAAGTCCAAAATGAAGGGGACACCGAGGATAATGAAGCTGGTTCGGGGGACACTTTGACAGGATTACCTCCCTTGTACAGCACACAACATAATGACAGGGGAAAACGGACTTTTTAAAAAGAGGTAATATGGTCGGGGAAGGGTGAATCATACCGTAAAGTAAGAGATATACTCGTTTATTCGGGGTAAAGAAAAGTACACCAAACAAGAGCGTTTACTTTACACTAAGAAAACGTAAAACTGGCAGATGGAAACAACAGAATGTCAAGGAGTAAGACCTTCCAGCGATACCCCTCTAACGACCCACTTCAGGGGGGAGAACTACCGTAAAAGAACAAGACAAAAAACAAAAAAACAAACAAAAAACAGAACAAAAACAAAACAAACAACAACAGTTCAAACAAGAACGTCTCTAAAGGGAACGAATCAACAGTAGTTGCTCGCTTCGTAGTCCAGCATGATACAAACTAGATCTACATACATTTCGTTCACTAACAACCCATCCTCCCTTCCTCTATTAAACGTACACAACAAAACGCTATAAACAACCTGTCCTGATTGCTGAAAGCAGTTCAGTCCGCATATTTAGTTGGGGTCTAAAATATATAATCCGGAAATATGGCTACACCTGGTCAAGAAACAAATGAACAGTGGTTTTGCCACAAAACACATGCAATATCAGAATACAAGACATCTATATATCGGAACAAAAATAAAAAATCCTCACCTGTTCTTTGAGGCAGTTTTAGGACAAAGGGCTTCATGTCAGCCAGGTACTTGTCAAACTCTCTGTCCATCCGGAAGCCTCGCTCGCCATCATTCTCCATGTCTGCGCGCGCAGCAGACGCCAGCAGTTCCGGCGTAGACGGCAACAACTGGGACGTCTCAACGTTCACGCTGCCTTGACCAGATAGACCAGACGTTGTTCCAGGAAGACTTTGTCCAGACACCAGCAGGCTGTCCGTACAGTGAGAGCCAGCACCGCGTCCGGGGGCGCCCTGGGCACTGTCGGGTGGCTCAGACTGAAAAGAAGGAAGACCTAAGGTAACAAAGTCAGAGTATCTGCTCGTGTTAGTTATTGTGAGAACCGGAGATGACGTGGGAGGGCACGTGTTTGTGGGTGAAACAGAAAGTTCTGGGGAGAGGGAAGCTACACAGATATCGGTGCTGCAAACGACTTTGGTAGCAAGAGTGACGTCATGATATGACTTCATCTCCGACTCTTCGCACATGAACTGATGCATTTTAGCATACGGGTTTTGTCTTTGGAAGGCAGACGCCTTTGAAGGGACTTGTATCATACTGCCACTGCCAGAGGTTCTTTCTGATTTACCGGACAATTTCCGAAACTCTTTCACAGAAGTTATTCGCTTCTGTGCTGACGGTTTGGAGATACACCGAGATCCCGTTTTCAAATTCGTGTCTACGCGTTGTGCAGGGCCGCCAGAATTCTTTTTAAAGGTTTTTCTGTCACATTTCGGAAAGTTCGAAGAAAGCACAGAATGCTGACCACTTCCATTATGTCGTGCACAACATACATCTTGTAAATGCATGACTTGAGGGTCTTCGTCGCTGCTTGCACTTATCTCACACCTATCGTAATTGTTGTTTTCAGAGCTTACATTCTTTGCCCAAAAAGATCCTCTTCTCACCTCAAAAATGTCTATCCTATCCTGGAGATCTTGACTGAGCAAGTCCTTACTCTTTAACAGCCGTCTTTTAAGCGATGAGGACAATTTTCTCAAGTCTTTCTTAATCGACTTCAGTTCATTTGAAGGATTCCGAAACAAAACGTTCTGCGAGCTGTGAAGCATGTGCAATATACTTTTCAATTCGTTTCGACTCCAAGACGGGAGGTCCTGGTTACAAGATTTTACTTTCAAGACAGAGATCGCATTGAGTACATCTAACAAAGCCGTGGACGTTTCTTTGGAACAGTCAGAGGGGGACTTTGGGATAAGCAAATGTGAAGGAAACAGTTGCTTTCCCTCTTCGGTGAAAGTACGAGTCCCATGTTGTGAAGGCAGTTTATTGTTCCCTCCACGATGTATAGTTGAGGCGAATCCTTTCTCCGTGTTTTCTTTATCAGTATCCACATCAAACTCCGCGCCTGACAAGAGTCCAAATACTCTTTCTTGCATTTCTCCAACATGAGTCTCAAAACTTGACGAGTGTACGCTGGCTACGTCTGAATTTGATGACGACATACTCGACGAATCTAACGACACCGAGTGTAGGTTCTCTGTGCTGGTTGTTGACTGATGCTCCATGCAATGCTGGCAGGGTACAGATACGTTCTTGAACATGTTTTTCAATGTCTGATGTTCTCGAGATACGATATTGTCAAAAGCATTCTCGGGAGCAGAATGCGTTCCTCTCTCAACGGTGGTCAACGGAGGTTGGTCAACATCTACACAAAAAGTTCTTTTGTCCCTCAGAACATCAGTGTCCCGATTCACGTCACTTACAGTCTTATTTACCATGCAATGGTTATTCCCCTGCACACTATCCCCAGCACTGGGGGAATTAGACGGCTTAGGCCAATTTTCCGTAATTTTGTTTTCAGATTTATCACTATTTGGTGCACAAGAACCTGAAACGTCAGAATAAGTGGGAGGGTGGCGGAAAACAGAGACTGGTGCGCCACAGGTGTTGTCATCTCCGGTGACTTCCCTCTGATGTTGAAACCGAGAACTTGGAATTTCACGTTCGGGAGATTTTGCATGCGGCACGTAGTGGAATACACGCACAGGGGAAGATACTAAAGTGTGCTGTGAGACATGACTGACTGACTGTGGTGAGACGTTGCACGGTGAGCCTGCCATATTCGGTTCTGTTACTTCCCCATGACGGTGATCTCCGATTTTCATTATCGAGGGCTGTAAGGGAACTTGAGATACAGTGATGGCTGTGTCCACTTGCGTGGTTATCTCTCTTGATGTGCTCATCCTTGTTCCTGTGGAAAACGTGCAACATGTGCAAGCTCGGTTCACAGCCTCAGAGGTCAGTGAGTTTACATCTGGTGGACTGTTTTCAATGCCCAAAGAAGGTGTTCCCTGAGAAATTATTAAACTAAAAGTAGCAATGTCAGAAAAAGTCCCCACAGTCTGCGTTTGGTGCTTGTCCTTAGGCTCGTGACTTGTAGTCTCTTGTAAACATTGTTCACTATCAAATGGCAAAGGAAATCCTGAGATGGCTAGGTGATTGGGATCTGAGAAACGTTTTGTTGGTGTACTGAAAGTTAAGGACTCTCCATTCCTGGGACACTCTTCCTTACAATCTCTATGCACTTCTTGGTCCACATGTGGCAATGCTTGAGTAACAATATCTTCGCCATTAGACAGTGACCGGGCGCCAATCGGTCTTTTGTCTGTTACAAACCAAAGACCACTTCCCATGAAAGAAACAGGGTTGGCATCAGTCACTGGCTGCTGTTCTGGGTCTGCCAGATTTTCCACTAACTGACCAGTGCCCGCATATCGGCAAGGCTGGACATCACTTCCTTCTAACCGAGTCTCTGAAGTATCAAACAATTCAAGAGACTTTGGTGTATTAGAACCAGTGTTTCCACACGACGGTGACTGCAGGTTCGCATCACCACACTGCCCTATTGAAAGATCTTTATTCTCAAAATGCACTGCCGCATTAACCCGACTCAAATTGCTTTGATTTGAATTATCTTCACGCGGAGACGTAGTAGGTACTTCGGTAGGAGTATCTGACAAACAACGAGTACTCACAGTCAGTTCTACATCAGGAGGCTTAGACATCACAATGTTAGGAGAAGAAAGAAGTCCAGCAATCGGGCCATCTGCTATTTTCAGAGTCTCCCCAGAACTACATAATACAGGGTGCGGTTCACACTGATATTCTCCTGTGCTTGCTCTTGGGGAATCCCTTCCGTGTGTCGCACTGACATGAACCATTTGTTTACTCGCTTTATCTTCCCCGCGTTCTGGGCTTCCTGTTAAGCCATTTAATGAAGAAAGAGAATGGGCACCTTGCTTCATAAAACTTGAACTATCATCAGGACACCCCATATGTATCTTATTATCAAAGTATGGATACTTAATTGGAGACGTACGGCCATTGTCAAGTGGAGAATTCACTTCTGACAAAACAGTCTCGTTTTCAATGTTTACATTCTCTTCAAATTTTCGCAAAGCATTATGATCACCTCTTGCCACATGTTCATTTTCTATCGATGAAATTATTAAAGGACCGCTTTTATGAATTCCATTTCCCAAAGACCTTTGTTCATCCTTGTGCTTACTCACGAGGGAAAGCAGCAACAAGTTCAGTTCACTGCCTTTATGCAATGGCATGGGCGGGGACGATGACAGACTCTCGGTGGTCACAAGAGCTGAGTTCTCGAGAAATTCTTCTCCGGGAGGTGGGACGTGGAGGGCAATAGAGTGTGGTGATGCTACGCCACCATAGTGCTCAGGTAGGTCGGTCTGCGGTACACTTACTGGCTGCGACACTGACTGGACAGCACAGACTAATTGTTGCGTTGGAGTGTCCTGTAGCTCGGCGTGTTCAACAACCGAAAGGTGTGGAGGACAGAAACCTCGCTGAAGAGAATGAGACGTCACGATTGCATTTGCTGACTCTGTGTTGCTATTAAAAGACTCATTACTGAAGTCAGTGATGACGAGTAAAGGGGGAGAGGAAGCCACTTTGAAATTTGAGTTAAAAGATAATTCTTCACACAGAATATTTTCCCTCACTGACAAATCCAGTTCTGTCTGTGCACACACATTTCCATCGTCCTTAGTGCTTTTCTGTGTACCCTGTATGTTAGAAGATAATATCTCATTGGTGCCCAGGTTTTCACCACATGGGACGTTTGTTACTTTCTCACGCAGATTGTCCACGCTACAGTCCTCTGTTTCAAAAGAGAAAGCTGTCCTCTTCACCGGTGCGTGGCTTTCCACGTCGCTATCTCTTTTATCAACTACCTGACTTTTTATGTCTTGCTGTACGCGGCTTTCCGAGTCTATTTCTACGTTTTTAATAGAACGGGGCCGTATTTCTTGTTGTACATGGCTTTCCGAGTTGCATTCTTTATTTTCTGACGATGCTTTTGTTTCAGCCGACTGGTTACTTTCGGAAGACCTCTCACCTGATTCATGCAAGGAAACTGTGGTTTCGTTCCGCATAGGGGTTTCTGAACAAAGTACGGTCTCATTGAAACTTTTTGGAGAGTGTGAGATATCAGGACTAATCGCAGAATCAGCACTTCCCATAGAGTTCAGCCTTTGGTGACTCAGTGTGGCAGCCGCTGTAAAGGATAGCAGTCGAAGGGACTCCTCGTCTTGAGAGAAACTGAGTGAACTGTCGCTATGGCACGTCCTATTGCGCTGTGGTGGCGTCCAGTCCCCGTGACCCCGGGCGGCCAGGCCTTTGCGAGTTTGCACATTCCGCTCCTGGAGGCTTTTGGCTAGCCTGGCCAGGTCAGTGTGGCTTCTTGACCAGATAGACATTCTTGCTCATGGGACTGGCAAACAGACACTAGCAAACCTACGCCCTCTATGAAAGTGGAATTTCTGAATGGAGTTCGGAAATATAATGGGATGAAAATCTTACATGATGCCTTTCGCCCTCAAGCACATTTTAGCTCACTGTGGTTCCAGGCTGACACAAGCGAACCTAGGTTTCCGATACTGTGATAATCATTGTGGAGGGGTGAGTCTTTTAAACTATGACGTTATACACCATTTGCAGAGAATTAAACATCTTGACTAGATCCGAGTGTAACTCACAGCCCTGACAAGCTGTGTGGCTCATGGAACTGCCAAAGAAACACCAATGACACAAGCAAATACAGGTATCCTTTACTGAGTGAGAATCTTTGTTGATGGGAAGTCCAGAATTATCAATGAACACACCGTCCATAGACAACAGTGGAATTTACAAAAAATCACTGTGCAGGTTTCCTACATAATGGGCATACTGGCTTTTCACAATAAATCTGCTGACACGGTAAGAGTAATTCCAGGCCCTAAACACGTGTTCCATATGAGACGAGCATTGTTTACGCGACTCGAGTAAACACGTATGCTATTAAAGAGCCGGTAGAGAAAATATATTGGGGTCACATTGCAAAACATTTACAATGTTAAATCGTGCATTACACCACTGTCAGCAAGTCTTTTCTCCTTTGACTTTAAATACATGAGCACATGCGTCCTCACATAACATTTAAAACGTCTTGTCTGTAGGATTTAAGGACAGCCCGGTCCTGTGCACGCTCGTATAAACGTTCTTGAAAAGAGGTTCAGAGGTAATAGCTGTGAAGCAGTTACCCACATTATTGGATCTAGGACTGTAAAACCGCAAATATAACACGTCCTTCTATCCTCTAGAATGCACAGGCCTCCTGGCGTATAGGGCTGGAAGTATCAAATTCAAATGTGACGTTATACGTCCTCTACACATGCATGTGTACCTCACACTCGGAGCGTTCCGATTCAATGTAATTTAAAGGACAACTATGCTGTGTGTAATCCGTCATTGTGACAAGGACTCCCTGGCGAAATCAATCATGTATATAAATCCTACAAAACAATGCACATTTCCTACAACACCATATTTCTTATTCCACGTATTTCTCTCTCTCTCTCTCTCTCTCTCTCTCTCTCTCTCTCTCTCTCTCTCTCTCTCTCTTTACCTATGTCTCTCTTTCTTTATCTCTCTGTCTTTCTTTATCTCTCTCTGTCTCTCATTCATTCCCCCTTTCCGTATTGGTCACTTTCTTTCTGTAGTCTGTCTCTTTGTCTGTTTGTGTGTCTATCTATCTATCTATCTATCTATCTATCTATCTATCTATCTATCTATCTATCTACCTATCTATCTATTCATCTATCTTCTCTCATTCTTCGTGTCTGCCTCCATGTCTCTCGTATCTTTTAATTACAAAATGCTCCCACTTTACGCATTCAACAATCAATATGGCCAACCACCTCCCAACCCACATTTTTTTTTACATACACGTTTGTGTGTCGACCTAACTTTATAATTCCAAGGCAGTCAGGTACCGAATCAATAACAATTAAGGTATACGGTTTAACAGAACAAGGTGAGGCGAAAGGGCCAATCAGTATAAAATGATCTGGAATGGAGCGAGGACACTTGTTTAAATCTTCCCTATTTATTCGTTTACATGTGATCTTTTGTCCGTCCCAAAAATTGTACGCAGGCTACTTACTTCACTTTTTTCCCTTTTGTATCTCAGCATTAACACATTTACCCAACCAAATAACTGAGCGGCCACATTACACTGAAGTTTTTTCAGCTGTTTTGCAACAAAGCACTGCGGTTAAATCTGCAAATATATAATAATAATAATAATAAATAATATATAGCATTTGTATAGCGCATATCCCCGCTTAACAAATATATCCATATTTCTACAACAATGTATAACAACGTACAAAAAATAAGGACAAAAGTCTAAATTTTTGCACATTACAGTGCAGTGGGCATTGCGTGTCCATTAAATGTAAGATGGTAGGCGAGTCAGCAAAGGTCAGCCGTCTACAGTAAAGTCCGTTCCGTCAACATCCCCAGACAGCAAATCGATCCAGCACTCCATTACAAACACACACACACCCTCACGCACAAACATGCATAAACCTCAACAAGGCATACGCATCTCACCGGGAACACCCATTTGCGTGTGCACACACTCACAAATATCCCATGAAGCACCCACACAAATCACGAAAGCACTTGCATCAAGTTAGACATGCTCAAACCTGTACACACACTCTTCTCACTCATACAAACACACACGCGCACGCCAGCGCGCACCGACGTACACACACACACACACACACACACACACACACACACACACACACACACACACACACACACACAGAGAGAGAAACATTAAAATCGCTCAATAGAAAACTGTAGCCATTAAGTCACAATGAGCAGGAATAATGACGTTTTTAGCAGTAGAAATTAAAACATGGCCTTCAACGGTTGAAAATTGCGCTCCGAAACAGCTATTATAAAGACACTTGATAATATTACAGGGCAACTACGGAAAACAACGCACAACACGGGGGCCTGTCAAAGGTAACATCCTCCAGATCAGAAAAAGTTCACAGACCACATTTCCCACATTCTAAAACACATAAAGTGTTAAGACTACCACATCCTTCCCAAGAACGACATGTATTAATCCAAACTGCGACATTCGTTCAAAACCCGTTATTCAGACTATCGGTTCCTTCGTACAATCAAGTAATTAGGATTGTCGGTTCCTTCATTAAAATCCAGTAATTAGGAGTGTCGCATCCTTGGAAACAAATCCGTTGAGAATAATTGTCACACCTGTCTTTAACAAAATTTGTATTGTGGTTTTTTTTCTGGGACTTTTTTCGTTTTGTCAAAGCAGAATACGACACAATCGTTCGCCGCGGCTCACGCGTGTTTGCGGTGCAATTCAAGTGGCTCCGTATTGTAAGGTCAGGGCGGTTCCTGGCCCTATTCACCACAAGGCACGGCTCTGGTTCCGCGGTCCCACCGGTACCGTTGACAGACAGCGCAGCGGTACTGCCAGCGACGTGTCCCCGCACGGGTATGGAATTACGACGGAGCGGGTACTGTTGCTACGCTGAGCGACCCGCGACGACCTGGTCCTGGTCTGTCCGCATGGGGGAGGCGGGAAAGGGGGCCCCAGGGATTGGGGTAGGGGTGGGGGTGCGGGATGATTTGTATACATCGCATCGGGGAACCTAATAATTACAATTGATGAGATATGTTTTGGTCTGCTATGGGAAGGTAAAGTAAGGTATGCTATGCTATCCTGAGATGTGCTGTGATACGCTGTAATTATTATTTGTCATCATCATCATCATCAACATCATCATCATCATCATCATCATCATCATCATCATCATCATCATCATCATCACCACCACCATTATTATTATTATTATTATTATTATTATTATTATTATTAAACTTTAATAATTACACGCTTTAAATTTTAAAAACTCACCTCCCATGGGACCCATCCAAGTGAATGGAGTGAGTGCAGTGAAAACCCCCCACACCCCCCCAAAAAAACCCCAAAACAAAACAAAACAACAAACAACAACCTCCCACCCCAAAACTCTGAGATCAAAAGAATGTCTCGGAGATTCGGCCTAGAGTAATCCACAGCGCAATAAAACGTGATACCATCTGATCTGAGGGCGCGCCGGCCGGAGGTGCAGTGGCAGAACACACGTCACTAAAATGGCCATTATCGGCTATAGATCCCAGGAAGTGGGCAGGGACGTGCCCGTGAGGTATTTACGATTTCGAGGTGACTGTTTTCTGCAGTGTGGAGGAGGAAACGGGAATAGATTTTTATTTTTTAAATCTTCGTTTTTTCTTAGCACTTATTACATATTATGTTTTACCCGACAGAGGTGAGCAGGGACCATAATTTTTTAGAGCTGCCCTAGGTAACTTCAGAGTATCAATCAACCGTTTACATTCTATCAAAATGATCGCTCCAGAAGTCCCGAAAAGTGAGGTTGCCTGTCCTGCTTTGCTAGTTCTGTGGAGCCACTATACCAACTACTAGCCCCCCCCCCCCCTCACCCCATAGAAAACAAAACAAAAACCCAGCACTCACACAAAACCCAACGACTACACCCCATAGTGAACGATTAATCAGGGCCTTTGCTAGCAACAATGTAAAGAGGCAATGTGATATACACAAAACAATAGGACGTTTCAGCGTTCTGTGCCGCCCCCCGCTTTCTGACCCCCCCCCCCCCAAAAAAAAAAAGCCCAAAACAAAACAAAACAACCCAAACCAAACCAAAACAAAAACTGAGATTCTGATGACGCTGCCAAAACCACTTGAACGTTGAAATAGTGCTGATCATGATTCTATGTCTTTTTTGGACTCTTTTCAAACCTGCTAGATACACGTGACCAGCTGCTCCGACAGACAAATTAAACCACAGATTAAGTTACACAAAGTGCGTATTGTTTGAAGTACAGAAAACACTGATGAATGGGGAGCATAGAGGAAAATGACACAGGGAGGATTAAAAATGATGAGAGGACCTAATGGTGCTTTAAACTTCACTCGTTCCAGTGCCTGAAGCCCTCGCTCGACCTTTACGTAAAGCCGGTTGGCGCTTTAATTCTTTTCATTGAAAACACGTGTCGGCTGTTTTACTTTGAAAGAACAATTGATCTTCTTCTTTTCCATCTTCTTCTTCTCCTTTTCCTTCTTCTTCTCCTCCTCCTCCTCCTCCTCCTCCTTCTTCTTCTTCTTCTTCTTCTTTTTCTTCTTCTTCTTCTTTTTCTTCTTCTTTTTTGTTCTTGTTCTTGTTCTTTTGATGATGATGATGATGATGAAGATGATGATGATGATGATGATGATGATGATGATGAAGATGACGACGACGACGATACAATTATGAACTGCACAATATGTAATTAGCACTGAAAATATTACGAACTGTATGAAATATTGATAATATGTTCATCTTTATTATAGTAAACTTTCACAATCATTTCCCTTTCTTTCTATCTTTCTTTCTGATCTACTTTTCTTAACCATTCTCAGTATCTCTATCTTCTTTCTTCTCTCTGTATCAGTCTTCTCTCTCAATCTAAAAAAGATTTTAAAAATATATCCTTCCCAGTGGGGAATCGAATCCCAGTCTCCCGCGTGGCAGAAGGAGATACTCTTATTAAATTAGGCTACTAAGTTATTACTTTCCTACAAATAAAACTCCCTTTGCTACAAAATTGTAGGTCCTGAATTAGATAATATCACGAAAGAGTTTAGGCCTACGGACGAATCTCAGCTTGTGCACGCCGAGGACACGTTCAGCAGCCGTGTACCGTCCCCGCGGTTTTATGCCAAAAAAAATTCTGAAATTATGTCAAATGAGCCCAACAATGTGAAATTATGCGATTATGTTAATTTAACAAAGAATGACAAAGGAAAATAATCGGAAATTATGCAAAAAATGATCAAATTTTGCTAAATTATGCGGGGTGCATAAAACCACGGAAACAGCGAGTAGCGAGTTGCAGAGAAAGTGAGTTGCTCCGTTCATTAGCGTTCAAGGCAAAATGACAACGAACCCGAGTTTAATGGTACACGATTGTGACAAAAAGCACACGATAGCAAAAATAAATGCCCTTTACTGTCCGCTGCACGACTGCAGAATACCTTACTTTTCATAACTTGAGTTGTCTCTTGTCCTGTCGTATTATCATTATAATTATTATTGTTATTATTATTATTATTATTATTATTATTATTGTTATTATTATTGTTATTGTTATTATTATTATTATAATTATAATAATTATAATAATAATAATTATTATTATTATTATATTATTATTATTATTATTATTATTATTATTATTATTATTACTATTGTCAATAAAGTTTTTGCTGTAATCGACCAATGCCAGAAAAAACCCTTCTCAAAATATAATATGCTGCTCGACAACCGCACCCTCCCTAAAAAAACAACAACAACAAACAAACAAACAAACAAACAAACAACAACAACTACAAACAACAACAACAACCCAAAAAAACCCCCA